TATTTTATGGGCAGACAAGGGAGCACGTGCAGGGTCTGATGGCTTCATTCTTTAATCTGTGAAAAATTAATTCCCAATGCAAGACCCTGGGATGATGATGAGGATGATGTTGGGTGTCTCTTCTGCTTTCTTCCTCTGGATCATAGATTTTACTCCCACAGACAGAAGCTGTTTGGGAGTCCAGCATGGCTTTGTGTGCCTGGTGGGGAGTAGAACACCTCTGGATCCAGCTGAACACAAAATCCCAGCTTGCCCTGGGGGTAGGGAATGGCTGTGATGACTCAGAGGAGCCACTTCTCATTCAATAGCAGCTTTGAGGGGAAGCTGTGACTCACAGGCACATCCAAATTCTTTAAAGGAATTGCCAACCCTGTGGAAGAGGGTGGTTCAACCATCTAACATGTTCTGAGATTCCCTAAACTCATGCAAGGACACTCCTCACCAAGGGTTCATGGAGAAACTGAGCTGTCATGAAGTGGATTTGAACAGAGACAGAACTTACAGGGATAGTTTCATTGGCATCCCTGCAAGGAATTTTGATGTTCCAGGAGGGCCAATGCCAAGAAGACCGAGTTGGCCAATGCCACAGCGTTATTCAAAGTGGTCAAAGTGAAAGGTGGCTGTGCAGAAGTGCAGCAGGTCTCATTTTTCTGAGTGACCACGGGGTTAAAACAGCAGCTGCAGCTTGTTATTGATGAAGAAAAAGTAATGGATATATGGAGAAGCAATTCAAGCTGTACACTGGCCATAATAGACTTTAATTTAGCTATTACCATGTCAGAAGAACTATGGGTAGTCCTTCAAAAACATCAGCTTGAGGCTCTGGGGAGGTCAAAAGGACAATGAGAGCATTAGGAATTATTAGGACAGGAATAAGTGGCAAAGCAAATGTGTTGTGCCAGGGCACTGCTCCTGGGAGCCTCCCTGTGTGTGATTGCCATCCTTTCCATCTGAGAAAGGAGTGGTAATTTCAGTAAAGGAGGGAAGTGGAAAAAGGAAGGATGAACAGGGACATGGAAGAGCTGCTGGCAGCACAGGGAATGGCAGAGCAAGACTGGGGCTTGCAGGAGAGATGCCTGATGGGGATGTGACACATTTCCAGCCTCATGGGCAGCATGGAGAGGAGTCAAGAGCTGTCCTCATATCACTGCTGCTCCAAGCACATGAAGGAGGGGTGTCAGATGGCCTTATCAGGCAGCAGACCTAAAACAAAGAGAAGGAAGTGTTTTTTCTTCCATCAGATAATTAAACTATGGTAGTCGCTGACCAGGATGTTGAGGGTATTTATCCTAAGGGATAAATGGATTCAAAAAGCAATTAGGCAATTTCCTGGATGAAGATCCCTCTGAGGCCATTAACCACTGGGATGTAAATACAACTCTGAGAATACTTGTCCTGTTCCTCCTCCTCCCCTGAGCACTTGCTGCAGATGACAGCCAGAGACAGGAGTCTGGGCCACAGGGTTGTGGCCAGAGGCATCTGCACTGTCTGTGCCACTGCAGTCACTAATTGCCCTGCTGACATCACAGTGCGTGAATTTGGGTCATCTTCTCCCATTTTCCAGCCAGGGGATGGAGGGACAGAGGAGCTGGAGGTTCTCAAAGGGTTTGTGATAGAGGAAACCAGCTGCCCTGCATTACCTGGTGCCTTTCTGATACCTGCACATTAACGTGGCCACAGCCTCCTTCTTCCCACTTTAAAGACAGCTGGAAACAACTGGGCAAATGATGTTTGCCAAAGCCTCTGCCTCCAGCAGCCAGGGCAGCCCTGATGGGCACTGTTATTGTTCCCAGTGTTGTTATTCTCGTGCTGATTATCTCCAATTTGCACAGAGCTCACCAACATGAAAATGAAACCAGCAATGACTTGCAGGGATTGTGCATCCACCTAATGAGGATCAGATGAGTTGTTCTCCCACCCCCAGAGCTTCTCCCACCTCGGAAGATTTATGTGGCTGAACATGTTTGTTCTGATCAATGACTGTGCTGCAGACACGAATACAAATGTAAAAGAGAGATTACACTTTTGATCCAAAGCTCACTAAAGGCAGCAGAAAGGCTCCTGATGCTCACAAAAAAAAAAAAAAAAAGTTTTGGCCGCAATGAAAAAGATGAAATTTTTGGTCAGCTTCAGTGAACAAAGCACCTTGTTAGGCAGTGACAGATTTTATACAACCCACAGCTATTTAACAGTGAATGTATCATTGCTTTCACCTCTCCTAATGGGAGGATTAACATGTTTAAGGCAGGAATTCAACACCAGATCTGATTTGTTGCGTTTGCTTTTCACTCATCTTCGAGATGACAAGAAGCATGAAACAGAAGCAAAGCTGCTATTTTTAGTTTGGTTTTTCCAATCCAGAAACTTGACACTGAGAGGGAAAAGCAGGAGCAGGTATCTGGTGTGTGCTGCTGACCAGGATTGTTTCAGCACCAGGATACAGGAACCTGAAAAAGCAGTATTTAATAATTCTTCGATCCTCAGAGTCATTAACCTGAGCGTTCATTAAATTAGCGTTACTGGAAGCATCACAGAGCTGAGATAATTGTCCCAGCACTCAAAAACTTGCTCCTCCCACACCCTCTCCTACACAAGGATGGAAAACCTTGGGCCGGCGTTCCTGAAGGCTTAAGGTGGATACAGGGATATTCAGAAGTGTCCAAGGACTGAGTTTATTTTCTCCATCTTTAGTCCTATAAAAACCAGGCTCCTGATTTATCCTGCTGTAATTATGTGAGACTATCACACAGAGAGGATGATTTGGCCCATTTTGTGATAAAATCCTCATGTAAAAGAGCTGAAGTTAAGAGAAATGGCACGTGAGAAGTAGTACCCAGGAAGAAGAACAGCTCAACCCGTGTGGAAAGAGACCAGGATTTGGGTCCCAGGGCTTGTGGATTAGGGAAATGGATTTGCAGCTGCCACCTGGGCTGCTCAGAGCATTCCTGAACTCCCTCTCTGCCCAAGTTTTAAATCACCGATCCCCTACACATCCCCATTTCCCCACCAAAGGGGCAGGGAACCAAATGGATGTGGTTTTTTTTTTTCTTTCCTGCTGGGAGAAGCTGGAGCGGAGCATCCCAGACTCCACTCGTTATCCCCCCGTGGGAGGCTCCCAGTGCCTCCCTCTCACCGCCAGGATAATGCCAGGATAATGCCAGGATAATGCCAGGATAATGCCTTCACCCCTTCCTGCCTCGAGGGGATCCGCAGTGAAATCCCCGGGAATGGAATTGTGTGTGGATGCTCATTCATCCCAGGATGCGGCTCCAGGATCATCTCTGTGGTTTTCACGGGAATTCTTGGCTGAAATAGGGTCGGGAAACCTCTTTTAGATGCTGAGTCTGAAGAGGGTCCAGCAGCACTGTTTGAGATGCCAGGACGTGGCTATAAAAACAACAAACAGTGTTGATTTTATATTTGGACTCAACAATCTGAAAGGTCTTCTCCAGCCTAAATCTCTGGTCTTCGTTAGTCCCTTCCAGCTCAGGATATTCTGTGATTCTACAAGTATTTCTTCATTTATCTTAATTTTTACCTCCTGAATGAATACTGAACTGGAGAAAAAATGGAATAAAAAAGATAAGAATATTAATGACCAGAACCCTCCAGCTACTGGAGTGGGAATTCAGCCATAAACTTCAGCGAGTGCTGATGAGCTGCACAGGGAACTTCAGCCCCTTCCTTGCTCGTTAATTAATGTGTGTTAGCTCAGGGTAGCTGCTGGCAGAAGGGGTTTCATCCATTAATGACAAAGAGGCTTCCCAAAGTAGTGTGCAAACAGGGAAGGACAACATTTCCCAATAAAGTTCCCTGTCTTGGGAAATGGATTTGTATTGAATTTGTTTACCACAAGTGCTGGTTAGAAAAGGTGGAAAAAAGATTCAAAAAGGTGGAAAAAAAGGTGGAAGGAAACTTATTTATAACAGAGACTGCACAGAAGTGAAGATGTCCTGGACTGGTTTGGCTTGGAAGGATCTTAAAAATCCTCTCATACCTTCCTGTCCAGCCTGGCCTTGAACACTTCCAGGGATCCAGGGGCAGCCACAGATTCTCTGGGCACCCTGTGCCAGGGCCTCACCACCCTCACAGCCAGGGATTTCTTCCCAATATCCCATCTATCCCTGCCCTCTGACAGTGGGAAGCCATTCCCTGTTCCTGTCCCTCCATCCCTTGTCCCAAGTCCCTCTCCAGCTCTCCTGGAGCCCCTTTAGGCACCGGAAGGGGCTCTGAGGTTTCCTTGGATCCTTCTCCTCTCCAAGTGAACACCCTCTACTCTCACACAGCCTTTCCTCAGAAAAGTGTTGCACCTGCCTTGTGTAGATTTTGTGCTGCTTTCTCTTCTCCCTGGGTTTGTGTCCAGAGATTCCAGAGCTGGATGTGCTCTTGGTGCTCCAGCTACAGCAGCCAACAGGAGAATATTCCTCTTTTTGAGGTGGCTGCAACCTGCATTTGAAGCCTAGCCCACACTGGGTGAGTGGTAGTTGTCCCTGTAGCAGCAGGAAAGTTTTCAGGGAAGTGACTGTGGCTTCAAGAAGGATTTGTCAGGATTATTGTTTATTTTCTGCCCAGTTTCTGGCTGCCAGCCCCCAAAAATTCACAGTGGCAGGTACCCAGCACCTCCACGCAGCAGCTTTGCAGAGGAGACAAGGACTGAGAGAGCAGTCACAGCAAATGTCCCTTTTCTCTCTGGGATGGTGTCTCTTGCTGACAGGTCTCAGGTATCCTCCTGGGGCCACAGGAGCATGGGAATGACAGGGACTCAGTTCACTGAGCCAGAGCTTGGGACTGATCTCCACCTCTTGCCTCCTGTATCTATTTATTCTGCAGGACCTCAGGGCTGAGCTGTGAAATTTTGAATCCAAATTCCCTTTTTTTTCCTCCCCAAATCCTCACTAAGCTGAGGCAGAGATTGATTTCCCCCACTCAGTCTGTGTGAAGCAGCTGTTCTGAGAGACCTGAGGTTGGATCCAGCTGTGACATTCCTGCTTCTGCCACAGGTGGACAGCGGGGGACCTCTGGTCTGCAGCTACTGGAACACCATGAAGTGGTTCCAGGTCGGCATCATCAGTGGAGGAAAGCCAAACCACAGGATTTTAACACCTGTTTACAGCTACCAGGACTGGATTGAGAAGGAAACAGCCATTAGGGGAAAACCTTTCTTCCCTGAGGGTGTGGACAGCGGAGCACGTCTCAGGGTTGCTCGTTCCAGGGCTGGAACACAGGTGGTGTCCCTGGGGTATTGTCTCCTTTTATTCATCTTTTCAATAGCAATAAGATTACCCTGAGAGAAGATTTTTGAAAATAAAAGTCACAACTGCCACTTCACTATTTTTTCTGAGGCCAACCTGCTCAATGTCACTGACATGGACACAGGGACAAACGGGAGATGTCACAATGAGACAGGGAGAGAGGCGGAGGGTGGAGAAATGAAATGAAGGAGGCAGGATTTGGGCAAGAAGGGCCATAATTCTCTGGAAAACAGAGATATTCCACACTGCTGGGTCACACTGGACTCTGTTGTTTGCTAAGCTCAGGTGCCAAGTGAAGATGTGGCATCTGAAGGTGCTGATCCCCTTGGAAAGTTGAAACCCAGAGAAAGAGATTAGCTCACTCATTATTGTTAGTTGCTGTAGGATAGCTCTGGGCTTTTGAATCTTACAGAGTAGCTGGGCTAATTTATTTTAGTGTAATTTTAGTTAATTTAAATTATTTATTTATTTATTTATTTATTTTCTTTTTTTTTTTTTTTTTTTTTTTTTTTTTTACTAAGACCACCCACAGGTAGCTCAGCCCCTGCTCAGGTGCTGTCAAACTTCTGGGACAGAATCACTGAGGCACTGGAAGAGGTTGCCCAGAGAAGCTGTGGCTGCCCCTGGATCCCTGGAAGTGTCCAAGGCCAGGTTGGATGGGGCTTGGAGAAACCTGGGATAGTGGAAGGTGTCCCTGCACAGGGCAGTGCTTGGGATGGGATTTAAGGGTCATTCCAGCCCAAACCATTTTAGGATTTTGTGAAGAGAGAAGTATTTGGGGGCTATTCAGAAAATGCTGCCAACAAAATACCCTCAGTTTTATAAATAATCAAAATTAATCCATTGCAAGTCAATGGTAAAGCAAAAGAAGACAGATTTTTTTCCCCTAACACTATTAGAGGTGTTTTTTTCTGAATTGCTGAGAGCTCCACATCCCAGCTCCACATCCCAGCCTGAGCTGGTCCTTCACATCCTTCCATCCTACTCATGGTCCTTTATTGATCTCCAGCATCCCAAATATGTTCTGCTGTTCACAAGGAGGTTTCATCTTTTCTTGGAAGTGATGGGGAAGGAGAGAAGCAGCAAAGTCCCCTTCATGTCCCACCTTTGCATAAAAGCACCTGCAATTTGCAGCAATGATAAAACCCAGTGAATGTGCAATGGGACAGAACCTCACAAATTTGTTTTAATTACCTTGATATTTTCTGGCTAGCTGGCAGAGAAGCCTTGTAAATGAGAATTAATTCATTTACCTTAAGCTAATGCAAACCCATCTTGGCATAAAAGTCAGGCTTTATTTTCTGTGTTATCTGAGCAGAAAATAATGCTTAATTATTATTAGTTCTGAGTAATGCTTATGAAAATTGCTCCACATTAATTTCACATGGCTGACTGGCTAATGGATGCATAAGGGTCTTGTAACCCTTTGCAAAAAGACTAATAAGAGCTAAAAACAAGGGGAATATATTACTTTAACAGCTATTAGTAGCAGACAGTATCTACTGGCATTAATACCTATATTTATTTTCCTTTCTATTAATAATATATCAACAGATTCTGGAAGCCATGGACATCAGGAAATATTTCCTAATGTTGCAATCTCTTCAGCTGCGGAATTGTTTCCCCCAGAGGAAATGAGAGAAGTCCTCCTGCTTAAATTATTTTAATGTAGGGGTTGTATAAAGCACTTTTGTCTCCAGCACATGGCAGGGAAAAAGCCTGGGCTTACAGGGGCCTGCAAAATGACCCAGTAGGTCTTTTCCATCAGAAGAATTTGCAAATTGATCATGGGCTGTGCTAAATGAAGGCAGGGCACTGCTGCTCTGGGCTTTGATTCATCCTGCTCTTTATTTATTCAATGGATTTGGGGATAAGTTTGTGCTTGGTGCCTCAATTTCCCTGCTTGTAAATGAAAGAAGCTCACTTTCCTATGTGGAGCATCACTTCTGCAAGTTCAGACCAGCAAAGAAATAAACAGGAAAAACCTTTGCCTCTTTATTTAAAACATCATAAAACTCAGTAAAGTGAATTCATCTCTCTTACTTCTTCCACTATTCAATAATTAGGGTGAGAAAGGACACGTTTGTTTAACATTTCCAGGCTGCAATTAGGTCTGATGAAAACATCTTGATGCTGTGTTCTTTTCTGAGGGTATTTGGGTTTTCAGGGAGCATTCTGATTGTGGTTTTGACAGGAATATTTTGGAGTCACTCAAAATCAACATGCAGCAGTTCAATGGGACAGTTAATTTTTTTAGTTTTCCAGCATTGATGTAAATGTTCATTATGTTATAGTATTCTGTATTTGTAGAATCCCAAAATGGTTTGGGTTGGAAGGGACCTTAAAGATCACCTAATTCCACCCTGTGCCATGGGCAAGGACACCTTTCACTATCCCAGCTTGTTCCAAGCCCTGTCCAACCTGGCCTTGGACACTTCCAGGGATCCAGGAGCAGTCACAGCTTCTCTTTTGGGTTTAGAACATCAAAGTGAAACATTTCCAGGCTGAAGGACCTCAATGTTTATGTTTCAGTCTGTAGCTGGCGAAGTTCACTACTCCCAATTTACAGCTCATTTCTTATTGCTCCTCCCTCCTTTCCAGAGACAGATTTTTTTTTGCAGCACTACACCTTTAGCAGCAAATAAACAGGATATGGAAATGCTTAGAGACCTGGGAAAACATCTGTAAGAGGATTCAGGGAGGAAAATAAATAGGAGGGTATGAGTACTCAAGCAGAGAAAAGAGGTGGTCAGGAGCTGCTTGCACGTTTTGCTGAGGAGATAAGAAGAAAAGCTCCCGTGAGCACTGAAGGCAGCAATTTAAAAGCCAATACATCAAAGTAATTTTGGCTTAGTTCTGCAGAGATTAGGGGCTTTGTGTCTCCACGTGTTTCCCTGTCTGCCCAATCCCAGCTGGCATTCGAAGGCCAGCAGGAGCTGGGAGAGTTGAAGATGATGATGTTTGTGCAAATTTGGCAGCAAGAGCTGGTGGAGGTGAGAGGTGGGAAGGGTTCCAAACACGTTTGTGTGGCTCCATCTCAGAGAAGGGAGGTGGGAAAAGCAGCAATCCCTGGCCACAGGTAACTGCTGCTGGAGAAATCCAACCTTTACTCGTCCTCCTGGTGCAATGTGTCCCTGCCCATGGGAGGAGCCTTAGGGTCCCTTCCAACCCCAAATATTCCATGATTCTGTGATTCAAGGGGATGATCCCATACCTGTCACCCAGCTCCTTCTCAGTACATGTCACCTGGGGAATCTGAAGACAAAGCAGTTGTCCTTGTGGGGGACTGAGGTTTCCCATTTTCTCCTTTCCCAGTCTGGATTTCTTCACAGGGGTAAAACACAATGAAAAGCCCAGGTTTGTTTTCTCCTGCTCCCCTCAGCACCCTGAGCACCTCTTTGTCCCTCTGAGGAGAAGACAGAGGGCACACACGGCTCTGACTGTGACCACTGCCATCCATTTGTCACTCCTTATGCACTACATGGAGTGAAATGTGATTTTCATTGATAATAATGTAAGATTTGAGGTGGAGAATGGAGGCTGCAGAGGATCAGAACCTTTTCCCACAATTCCCAGCACTTTCCCTTATGGCTTTCATGCCATTTTCCAGAGTGAGGGCTCTGTTTATCCTTGAGATAAACATGGGAATAATTAAAGAGCAGGGATGTCCTTTGGGATGCACCAGTGGTGAGAGTGATTAATCACTGATGTTAATTGAAGGTGGCTCTGGGACAGAAAACACCACTGACAATATTGAACTCCTTGATTTGTTGAAAAAAAAACCTGGTGAACATTTCTGGTGTCAGGCTGAAGACACTCAGGGGCACCTTCCACCATCCCAGGTGGCTCCATGCCCTGTCCAAACTGGCCTGGAACACTTCCAGGGAAGCTTCTCTGGGCAACAAGAAGAGCAGCTTGGCCACCTCTGGCAGACCCCTGTCCTTCACTGTTCCATCACTGGTCACTGTTCCTGGTGGTTAATAGGGTTTGTAAAATGGCAACAACTGAGCCTACAACACCCTGCAGCACCAGGAAACATCCTCTTTTTGGGTATTTCTACCTATCTGCATCCCATATCCTTTTCTGGGGGGTGTCCTGTGCTCTCTAACAACTCTTGTATTCACAACTCTCCCATGGTGACTCATTGCTCCAAGGCCTTTTCCAGCCTTTTCCATATGGAATTCCCTTTGTTCCCAGGGGCCAAACCACTAAAATGATTTGCCAAAGTGCATTTGGCTCCTCTGCTGCAAAGTTTGGGCTTCAACACAATGCTGGAATGTAAAATTTCCTCTTCCTTAAGGCTTTTGAATTTATGTGTCTTCATACCACCTCTGCAGGCATTGACAGCAATGTAAGCAACTCCAGAGCTGCCCCGTGTGCCTTGGAAAATAAAATGGGGGGAAGGATGATTTAGGCACTGAGTACAGACACAGCACTGCAGCTCTGCAGCAACCTTTTTAGATCCTAGAAAAAGATTTGGGAGTTGCCTTGGTCTGAGCAGAATCATGGGAAAGGCCAAGGGAAAATTAGGAAGTGATCTGTTAACTGTGAAACAGCCCCTGAAAACCAGAAATGCTGGGCCAGTGCTCCATGTATTCCTCCATTCCAAGCTACACGAATATTTTGTCCAGTTTTGCGACTTTTGGCCAGAGACTCAAGAGCAGAGGGCTTTGTTAGGATGGGAGGGGACCCAAGAATGGGAACAGCTCTCCTGGGAATGGTGACGATCCCAAGGCTGCCAGAGCTCCAGCAATGTTTGGACAATGCTCTCAGGCATAGGGTGGGATTTGGGGATTGACTTTTGCAGGGTCAGGATGGGGACTTGATGGTCTTCGTGGGTTGTGAGTTTGCAGGCCCCAGGTTGGGCAACTCCCTGGGGGCTCCCCTGACAGGGCAAACCCTCCTGGAGCATTTCTGAGTCAGGAATGAGAGACACATTGGACTTTTTCAGTCTTCAGCTTCTGTTTATTGTTATCTTATCAAAACTTCAGCACACTGCACCAGACTCTGCGTGCAGGAAAAGCAGCACAAAAGTAACAACCTCGTGCTGCAAGGTCTTTTTAAGTCTAATCAAAAACTAAACCTTACCAATTAAGAAGTGACACCTAAATAATATTCCTTTCTAACCCATTAACTGACCCCTAAGGACATGCAATGCAGATTTTTCTACCCAGTTACAAGATACCACCTAAACCCAAGAAGAAAGAGGAAGAAGAAGAGAGAAGAAAGGAATTTGAGACAACATCCTATATCCTTCATCTTGAACCCATCTATAACACACTAAAAATCCTAAAACCTAAATTTCTCACCCATGTGACAAACTACACTACTATCTACAATCTCTACAATCTAGTTCACACTTTTGTGGTTTCTAGTTTACCTTGAGGCTTTGGAAGTTTTCTCCATGCATGAGGGTCAAAGTCAGTGTTTTCCTGGGAGTCAGAGCACCCAGGGCAGACAGGGGGATATTCCCCTTGCCCTGGCTTCCCACACTGGGTCCCTTCCAATTTAGGATATTCTGATTCTACGAGTGGTGCAGGAGCTTAAAGCACATTTTGGGAAACTCCAGTTGTCTGAGTGCCACTGTCCCTGCTCAGCTCTGCTCACAGAGGGGGAGCAGGAATGGGAACTTGGAGCTGGATGTGTAGAGGAGTCTGAAGATTCCCAAAGTGTTTATTCAGGGTGGGTGCAGTTGATGGTGCCTTGTGACAAGGCGGGGGGTTGTTTTGTGGATGGCTGAGCTGTTGTGACTGCGTTTGCACAGCTGGAATACCCAGATGAAGACTCTGGAGCAGAAGGACCTCCCAGCACATCCCGGTTATCACATCCAAGGGGCCAGGGCTGTAGGCTCAGGGTGAGCTGCCACTTGCAGATCCCTCCAGTGCTCCACATTTGAACCCATTTCTCAGAGGATCCTGGCACTCCCCATCCCTCAGGAGAATTTAATTAACTCCAAAATGCTTCATGTTCTGGGAGATCTCTGGGGGTGACCTTGTCCTGTTCTTTTTTGGCTGTTCCTCCTCTGTCAGGAGGAGTCAGATCTCGGCCAGGCCCCTCCTGCCCTGTGCACTGGCTCTGCTGGGATGGAATTCACATTCTTTATGCCAACACACATGGTGCTCTGTCTTAGACTTGTCCCCAAATCTGTCAGCGATTTTGCTGCTGCTGGGCAGGGCTCACACAGCATCAAAACTTTCCCTGTGTCCCACCCCACCAGTGAGGAGTTTGGGAGGGCAAAAGGAAATGGGAGGGGACACAAGTGACCCCAAATGACCACAGGGATATTCTATACCACATAGTGTTATGCTCAGCAGTAAAATCTTGGAGAAAGAAGGAGAAAGGGGGTGTGTTTCAGCCTTTCCATGAGGTTTTAAAATAAAAGAGGAGATATTTAGATGGAATACTGGGAAGGAATTCTTGGTTATGAGGGTGGTGAGGCCCTGGCGCAGCGTGCCCAGAGAAGTTGTGGCTTGCCCCTGGATCCCTGGAAGTGTCCAGGGTCAGGTTGGATGCATCTTGGAGGAACCTGGGATAGAGGAATTTGTCCCTGCCCATGGCAGGGGTTGAGATGGGCTAAATTTTATGGTCCCTTCCCACTCAATCCATTCTGTAATTCCATGATTCATGTCCATGTTTGCTTGCATACAGCTTTGCTTCACTTTTAAAGTGCCTTTAGCTTGCCCTGTAGGATTTTTGCCTTTACACTGGACCCTGCACTTCCATTTCCCTGGTATTTTAAATCCCAAACTCACACACCTTCAAAGACTCATTTAAAAACCACTTCTGCTGGTTGGTCCTCACATAAGCTTGAGGTGACTCTATTTTAGTTTCCTTGCTGCCAGCACACAGATGTTTGTATTCACATCTCCCATAACCTAAATGGTATCAAAACCTCTTTTCCACCTCCAGAACCAGCTGGCCCCATCCTGCCTGACCCATATGGTCACATTCTCTGTATTAGTGTGGCTGATCCAAACTACCTCCTGGCA